CATGTTTGTTCTTCATCTTTGCATAGATCAGGAGAAAGAATATTATTATCCATGAAATTTCCTTTAGAAATCTGATGAAAACTCAAATAACAGAGCCTTCATCTCAAAGTTTTGGAATCAATTTTTTTATTTTTCCTCCATTTTAGTCTTTTCATGCTAAGTATTTGGAGTAAGCTACATGACCCCTTGCGCACACGCAAGCATGCACGCACAAAGACATTTGTCCGTGTGTGTGGGGCGATGTATGTATGCACGTAATTATATGTAGGTGTATATATTTGAATGTGTGCATGTGACTTTATGCGTGTGTATATATGTGTATGTATGCATGTGACTGTATGTATGGGAATATGTATTTCAAGCAGACGTGATGAATTCTCAGTCATGAAGTTCTCTATTGAAAATTTCAAGAAAGGAATAATTGGATTCTGATAGTCCCCTAGTAAACTTTTATCACTTTCCCCCTTTACTCCATATGTAGCAATTCAAAGAAGAAGATAGGACCAGTATTTGAGTGGATAATAATTTAAACATATCTCTGCTTAGACCAACTTCTCAGCATCCTGCATCTTCCCGTGCTTTGAACGGGTTTAGTTATATTTAAAAGGGAAAAATGCTTCCAGCCCCCAAAAGCCAAGAGAACGTGCTTCCCACCCCCAAGACTTTGTCAACAGGTGTTTTGCCCCCAAAAATAAATATTCTGTTCTCTGAGCCCCCAAAACACAAAACCCAAGAGATTAAAATATGTAAAGACCATAATACCCTTCTCTCTCTCTTTCTTTTTTTATTAAAATATGATGAGGATTATTTTATTATTTTCATTTTCTCTCTCTCTCTCTTTATCATAATGTACTGAGATGATAGTTGAAATGATTGATGGGGATTATTTTATTATTTTTGTTTTTTATTATTTTTGTTGTTTGTATTGGGAGATTGTTAAAGTTATGGGTTAATTGTTAAGGTTACGAGTTAATTGTTAATGTTACGGGTCAATTATTAAGGTTATGGATCCTCTCTTGTTAAGGTTACGAGTTAATTGTTAATGTTACGGGTCAATTATTAAGGTTATGGATCCTCTCTCTCTCTCATGATGTTACTTTGATGATATTAAAATGATTGAGGAGTATTATTATTTTATTATTTTTGTTTTTTATTCTTTTTGTATTTTTAGAATATTCGTTGTTAAGGATAATGGTTGGTTGTAAAGGTTATGCATTGATTGTTAAGATTACGGGTTGGTTGTTAAGGTTACGGGTTTGTTGTTAAGTTATGGGTTTGTTGTGTAGGTTACGGATTTGTTGTTAAGGTTACGGGTTTAATTGTTAAGGTTACGGGTTTAATTTTAAAGGTTACGGTTTAATTGTTAAGGTTACGGGTTTAATTGTTAAGATTACGGATCAATTGTTAAGGTTACGGGTTTAATTGTTAAGGTTACGGGTTAATTGTTAAGGTTACGGTTTAATTGTTAAGGTTACTGATTTAATTGTTAAGGTTACGGTTCAATTGTTAAGGTTACGGGTCAATTGTTAAGGTTACAAGTTTAATTATTAAGGTTACGGGTTTAATTGTTAAGGTTACGGGTCAATTATTAAGGTTACGGGTTTAATTGTTAAGGTTACGGGTCAATTGTTACGGTTACTGGTTAATTGTTAAGATTACGGATTTAATTGTTAAGGTTACGAGTTTAATTGTTAAGGTTATAAATCCCTTCTCTCTCTCGTAACCTTTACAATTAAACCCGTAACCTTAATAATTAAACACATAACCTTAACAATTAAACATGTAACCTTAACAATTAACCCGTAACCTACACAACAAACCCATAACCTTAACAACCAACCCGTAACCTTCACAACCAATGCATAACCTTTACAACCAACCAACCCGTAACCTTCACAACCAATGTATAACCTTTACAACCAACCATTATCCTTAATAATTAATAATTAAACCCGTAACCTTAACAATTAAACCCGTAACCTTAACAACAAATCCGTAAACTACACAACAAACCCATAACCTTAACAACAAACCCGTAACCTTAACAACCAACCCGTAATCTTAACAATCAATGCATAACCTTTACAATCAACCATTATCCTTAACAACGAATATTCTAAAAATACGAAAAGAATAAAAAAGAAAAATAATAATCCTCTTCAATCATTTCAATATCATCAAAGTAACATTATGATAGAGAGAGAGATGATCCATAACCTTAATAATTGACCCGTAACATTAACAATTAACTCATAATCTTAACAATTAACCCGTAACTTTAACAATCTCCCAATACAAACAACGAAAATATTAAAATAATCCCCATCAATCATTTTAACTATCATCTCAGTACATCATGATAAAGAGAGAGAAAACAAAAATAATAAAATAATACTCATCATATCTTAATAAAAAAGAAAAAGAGAGAGAAGAATATTATGGTCTTCACATATTTTAATCTCTTGGGTTTTGTGTTTTGGGGGCTCAGAGAATAAAATCTTTATTTTTGAGGTAAAACACCAGTTGACAAAGTCTTAGGGGTGGGAAGCACGTTCTCTTGGCTTTGGGGGGCTAGAAGCATTTTTCCCTATTTAAAAAGGAATGAAGCTATCTCTTTTCTTTGCTCCAGGCAGGAAGTACTTATGGTTGGTATCCAAACTGGAACTGAAGCAAAACATTCCAGGTAGCGTGACATATCTTTGGTCACTTCAATTGTTAAGAACAGCGGGAAAAAATGTTAACACAGGAAAAACATATTTCTAAGAAAAGGGACTAAGAGAAACAGGGAAGAGCCAGACACCACTAAGATGGTATCTGTTGTTTGGGAGAGGGACTGTAGAATGCCAAGAAATTGGGTACATCTTCAAATTATAAGGCAATAAATGCATTTTCTGATGCAAGTGGAATAATTATCACTTTTCACTGAAACCGCTGCATTGTGACGTTCTAATTTTTGTCATGCTGTGTGAAAAAGAGTCTTATGTAAACCTTTAAAGACTTATGTCTGCATGTTTATTCTTCTAAACAACAAGTTTGTAGGTGTTATGAATTTTATTGGCTAGTATCTTCCGGTATATTTTACTCGCAAATAATTTTTTCTTCACAGATGGCAGTTTTTAAAGGTATTTTACCATATTATCGAGTTATGTAGAGGTGAAGTTTCTAAACTCAGTATACCTTCATTGCCCCAAGCACACAAATGCTCACGTGCACATCGCCTCCAAAATTTTGCAAGTTTTTCAAATATAAATAGTCATTCTTATTAAGTTATGAACCTTCAGAGAGTTCCTCGGTGGTTGGAAAATATCTATCTACTTCATCCATGATGGTAGGCATTAGCTGCTAAGACCCCACTTTATACAATTCATGACTAAAAAAATTGAAACATTACTCGAAATTAATCCATTGCCTATGACTACCAATCTTGAAACAAGTAAACATAAGTTAATTAGGGATACGGTAGTCTTTCAAACCAGAAAACTACAGAACACAATCAAAAGCAAAATAGAGCTTATATCAAAAGAATCTCACACATACCGCTTTACTTATTGTCGAAAGGGCTGCCATAAGAGATGCTGCAAGAATGTTGGCAGTCAGCGTTCCAGTAGGCAGCCACTTGAGCCATCCTTTTTTTCCAAACCCTTGCCCGTTAAGCCTCGCTAAGTACCATCGAGCCCAAACACCGGGTGGGCCCACCAAGCAGCCCAACCAAAGAACAGCACCATCGGTCGCATTATCCAACTTTTTACCCGCCAATGCACCACTTAAACCCCACAAAGAGCCAAGTAATAGTAATATAAGTGTCATAACCGTTATATGCCTCTTGCGATTATTTATTCTCCACAGATCGAGGCTGCATCCAGTTGTGACTGAACTTTGGTTGAGTCTTTTATGGAGTCCCTCTGCAGATTCAACCCCAATTTTGATGCTTTCGTTCACGATCATCATACCTGTAGCAATAAAAGAATTTAGGCTCGAATAGTTACTGATCATAAGGTTATTTGAGTGCTCATGTTTTAACTATTAGTTTAATTTTCCATTAAGTTTTCCTATAATATAAGACATTAGATCACATGCTTTAAGTTGACATTTGCATATTTTCCATCATGACATTGTATTTCAATTTTCAATTTACTTTTGCTGACATGCTTTTCCATCGGATAGGAGTTGATGAAAACAATAATCATAGTAAACTTACTATTTGACAATATCTTCAGTCTTAATTTTTCCATTTAAGAACTATATCAAGAAGGAAGCAGTTTTCTTCCGTAATCATGGTATACTACCTTAAGATTTACCACCAGTTAAGTTTCCATTAACTATCAGAAAATATATCAAAAGAAGGATCATGCAAAAAAGATATGCAAAATGGGAATTTGAAATATGTGATTTCTTGAATATATAAGGACTAAGGACATGCATGGTAAAGTAACCTTTTATTTATGGGTTAATTGTGAACAGGCCCCCGATAGGATCACACAATTGCAAAGAGACACTTTGTAGTTCTACTTGTTGCGAATAGAAGCCCCCCACCCCCACCCCACCCCCACCCCCCCAAAAAAAAACAAAAAAGAAAAAAAGATTTCTACTTGTTGCTAAGAGACCCCCTGAGTGAATTATTTTTTGACTTTAAAATTAATAAATATGTTTGAGGAAGCGGATAGACCCGTTATAGTTCTATTGGTGAGGATAGACACTCAATTGCTTTTTTTTTCTAACTTTTAAAAGAGTCGAAAAAGTTCTCTAAGGGAGCATATTCGCACTTGGGCCAATACTATAGCAAGTCTATTCGCGACGAGTAGAACTACATAGGGTCTATTCATAACAAATAGAACTGCAGGGTGGTCTCTTTGCAATTGGGTGATACTACAGATGGTCTGTTTGCAATTAACCCTAAATTTAACACATGGCAAGTGACTTTAAGGTTACACCAATCCAGTAGCATCTACAAGGAAAAGTTATATACTGTAATGTCCAGTTTCCACATGCAAGTGTGTTTAAAATCAGACCTCGAAAGACAATTTCTAGCTAATTAATTCAATTAGATGGCTACGCTGCTACTAAACTAACACAGACTGGCGATAGATAATAGTCTAGTGTCTGGATCTTATGTGCAATGAAGCATCAAAACCTCATAGTCCCAAACTTGACCAGAATAATATTTTAAATCCATGGACATATGTGGCGTGCACATGTTCCCATGTTCATGTATCAGGAAAATAGCCACTCTAATTCTTTGGGGCATATTTTATCCTGAACTCAACTCTTACGTTGTTAGAAATTATGTCTTCACATGACTATATGTCAACAGAAAGAGACCAGCTATGAGATATCCTCGTTAACTATCATCTATATAAAGCATAATAATTATCAAAGATTGTCCGAATCATACATAGAGAAGAAGTCATTTCGTTAAGTACTTAGGTACAAATTAGGATAACGTAAATAGCTAGCAGATTACATATAAGATGCGCTCATAGTTACCATCTAAATAAACAATAAGAATTATCAAAGATCAGCCAAATCATAGTCTACAGAAGAAACCACTCTGTTAAATACTTACTAGGATGACCAAGATGCAGCTAAAATGTGTTAGCTAGCTTACCGAATATGATGCCACCAACAGCAAAAGCCCAGTGACCCTTGGAAGCCAAGTCAAGCATTTTCTGATTCCAACCACTAAAGGTTGTTACACTTCCAAGGTATCCCGTTGATAATCCTATAGCTAAATGCTCAGAAATATGACGTATTTCAGGCTTGAACACGACCCCGAACCACCCCATCAGAAATGAACCCAACTAGTAAACACAAAATTTGAAGTAAATCAAGCCGGTGGAAATGGCAGCGATGATATTTGATAAATTCATGGAGTAAGATAAAATATACATACCATATTAGATGGAAGATCAAGGTACAAAGGTGTGTTACTCCCTGTTAGAGCCAGAAGGCTAGGGCCGAACAGTTTTTGTAGCAAGTACCTGGTTAATACCTGACAAAAATTTCGAGACTAAGAATATTCCTACAGTAAATGAATTATAGAAAATGAGGTAGTTGTCTTGTAAAAGCAAATCAGACTGAAGTAATACGCATAATAACAATGGAGAAGGAATAAAACCTTTTCAGTTCATGCATATCGTTCTTTTTGGTAGGAACTATCCAAATCTTTGATTTCTAGGAATATGTTTGGTTGTACATCAAAAAAGAATATGCCTAGAGAAACAGAAACATGAAAGGTGACTTTAGTGGTGATGGTTTTTTTCGTGGGGAGGTGCTTGTCTGTTGGGGGTTGGGGGCTTGGGTGGGGGTGGGTGGGGGGACTGCTTTTTTGACATCCAGTTATAAGCACTTCTGTAACAAGTAGAAGCAGAAAAGGATATTTTTGGGATGAAGAAAAGGTATAAGCTGAGTAAGAAACATTGCTTATTTCAATTTTTCTTTTCCTTCAAAGAAAAAAGTGACAGGAGAGGTGGATGAAAACTCTTCACCTTTTTGGGACACTTTTATCTTAAGTTTAAAACGAAATTCAGAGAATCAGGCATACTATAACCAAAATAGTGAATCAAATAGAATATATAGTCCAATCTTTGAGGAAGCTTGTATTCGTAATCCTGCAGATAGACAAACCATCAAAAATCATTTTCCAATTCCATTATTTATAAAAGATATAACTTAAAGGTGCAGTTACAACAGATGACCCTCAGTCTATTTTCTTACCTCCCTATTTTTGTACTAAATATCCTCATATTAGAATACGCGATCATTTATCTAGTTATAGTGGTTAATAAACTCCTCACCTTGAAAACAAATAAATAGCAGGCTTACCTTGAATGATGGAACTCGTACTTTCTGCATAAGTATGGCATCAGTAGGAAGAGGGGATTTCTCTTCAGCCACAGGCGAAATAGTCATCACTGAGTCCAAAATATGCGACCCAGATAAAAACCCATTTTCAACAGACCTCCGATCATCAACCGAAAAGCGTCGACTCCCATCATTCCTATCTTCGCTCGTCACTCGATCTCCACTATCTCCCACTTGTGCAATCAATGAACTATCAACTTCACCAAGTATCTCTTCAGCAAACTCATGCGAAAGAGTGATTGAGTTGAGAATCCGATCGCCAACATCTCGAGAAAGGCTGCTTGAGCTCCGATATGAACCTCGGCTTGCCCTCCTACCAAGTGACCTATGACTTGTTCCTTCATCCGAGACATTCATATTGCTCCCACCACGAGAAAGACTAATGGATACTCTATTGTTAAAGGATCCTCCATCACTGAATCTACTAGAAGAAACCCCAAAAGAACTTGTGGATGATGAAGCATCACTATTTTGATCTGTATCCTTATTTAGAGCTTGATGCATCATGTTTGGGTCTTGCTCCATGTTCCTAAGTAAACTATGGATAACCTGCAATAGGAACTAAATGTGAAATTGAGATTTGGGGTTGGAAACAAAAGAAATTTGGCACAATAGATCCAGAAAGATGAGAAACTAAGTGCATTGATATATCATTTTTATGGGACCGAAAGAATTCATCAAACGTGACAGGAAACATAATTAAAGTTAATGTTAGGCTGTGTGCATCACGTGTTACAGCCATCCAAATAGAATTAGCAAGCAAGAATTGACTTCTTTTGTGCCATTATTGTAGCCAATTCATCAATATACCAAGTCTGGGACAGAAAATTTTCAGAAACATTCTTCAAGATTACCAACGAAATCAGCTTCTGATTGAAAAAATAAAATTTCAGGAAATAACAAAACAGGAATGGATTTTCTATTGGAAGCATTCAGAAATGCTAGACTCGTACTAGATTGGAATTTAACTGTAGCAAGCAACAGAATCCAAGGAGAAATGAACATCAGCCCATTATTCTATGAAAAATATGACATATAACACTAAAATATTACCTTTCAAAGAAGACAAAGCTGGCTTTTAGTGTCTAACTTTTGGTGTTAAGGTTAGACTAAACATATCATAGACCGACAACCAATATCTTAATACTAATCAAACTTTTTCTTTCCATTTGGACCCACACGGGATCTAAGTTTGAACCTAAAAGTTCTTCTTCTTATCTTTCCGAGTAAAATTCTACACAACTTCACAATTACAGCAAGCTCCAAACCCACAGACTCCAGGAATTTAAGAATTTTTCAGATTTGTGCACAAAAAGTGACACCTTTGATGAATAATCCAGGGTTGCAAAAGGACTACAAGTGGTATCCGTAATTGGTGTATACTATAGGGGATCTATTCTCAATTAACCCTTGAAAATAATTGTTTAGTCTCGGCTAAGGATGTGCGAGAAAGAAATGGGACTTCCTATTCATTGTTGACTTATTTCTAAAAAAAAGAAATAGGACTTCCTACTCAGTTCTGACTTGTTTCTCCTGGCCACAAATTTTACCTAATTTGAAGATGATCGCAGGTGTCTAGCACGGAATTTGATTGTAAAATAACTTACTAACATGATGTCTCTGAAAATGGTTTATCATGTTCCAAAAAAAATGTGGAAATGCTGCAAGAAACTTTTAAGCTAAATAGAAACTTTTAAGATGGTACCGATCATCAGAGCAGTCCAGTTTCAAATCCCAACATGCGTGCATATTTAAAAAAGTACCGCTACACCGAAAATGCAGACTTTAATTCATAAAAAAAATATGTTCAGCCTGCAACAACATTTTATCCTACAAGCTGCACACAATTTCGGAGTCGTGGTATAGTGGAAGTTACTTTCAGTATATACTTAAGTCTAAACAGAAAGATTATATATAGAAAAATTCTCTGCTGATTTCCTACTATAGTTAAGTCCAAACAGAAAGATTACAGAAAAATTCTCTGCTGGTCTCCTGTAAGTATACAAGCTTGTTCCTTCCAATTCTGCGGAATGCCAACAATTTTGAATAAAGATCAGGAAAGAAATGCAGAAAAGAAGTTATAAAATCCAGGAAACAACAAAACTTGATGGAGCAAGTAACAAAATTCAGAGAGATATCAACATCAGCCACTATTTATAAAATAAAAAAAAAGATGACGTACAAACACTAAAACGTGAGAGACGAAAAGCTGGCATCTTTTAGTGCCTTACTTGGTATTAACAAGGTTAAACTAATTGCGTCATTGACTAACAACTCAATATCATAATACCAATCGAACTTTTTCTTTCTATTCGGACCCACACGAGATCTGAATCTAAAAGTTGTGCACTCTGCCAAGCGAAATACAAAATGATTTCATAATTAAAACATGCTCCTAATTCGTAGAATCAAGAATTCAAGAAACTCTGAGATTTGTGCACAAAGAGACGCCATTGATGAATAATCTAGCAATTTCAATAAAAGGGTAGATATAGGAGGTTAAAAATTAAATATTGTAAGCAACGGACTAAAAAATAATGTGGGCGTACCCGAGGGGGGGTTAAAAGGAATTTTCCGGCGTCGGAGAAAGGAGGCGTGAAGGTTTTTGCCGCTGGGCGACACGGAGAATTGTGAAGAGCTAAATAATGTGGAGGGCAGAGGAGGAGAGAGAGTCAACAGTCCTATTATCGTGAAGCTTTTTTTAGCATATGAGCCCTTCAAAATATGTCATTTGCACGTTGACCTTTCGGTCGTTCTTTCGAACCCAATTACCTGGGGCTGGGGGGGCTGGAGAGGAGCCGGACGAAGAAAACGAAGAAGAAGTCGAATTTTCTCGCGATCAGTTGTTTCTTTTTCTCCCTCCAAAATAGGATTTATTAGTAGGATACTAAAGGAGGGTTTTAACCGTTTGAAGCTTTAGCAGTTGAAGTGGGATAATTTTTGATAGTGGGATAATTTGGTAGAATGGTTTTGCCAGATAATGGTGGATAATTTTGTGAAGGAGATTTTTTTTATAGAAAAATACTATTTTTTTTAAAAAAATAAGCAAAACTGATCTTTTTATAAAAATATTAGCAAAATCGACCTCTTAGTGGCTAAAAAGAGATTGATTTTGTAAAATACTGACTTTAAAATGCACGGGACTAGTAGTCTCATGTAATTAGTGGTTGCTAACCACAGTTAATCAAAAATGATCGCCTCATGTACTTTCTTCCGAAATGCTTAAGGTTTAATTAATAAAAACTAAATACATAGGACTACTAGTCCCGTGCAAAATCGATCTCTTTTTAAAAAAAGTTTGATTTTACTAATAATTTTATAAAACAGTCGATTTTACTAATTATTTTTAAAAATGATCTTCTTTTTTAAATTCTCCTTTTGTGAACATAGGATATCTTGATTAAATAGTGTATGGGAATTTGGGATATCAAGAAGCCAGCACGTATAATTTTTCATCTCTTAACTTTTTCATGGGTTTTTGCACATAAATCCCTTAAACTTTTTCATCTCACATCAACCCATGAACTTAAAAACTTTTCTCACAAGACTCTATAATATTTTACAAAAAAGAATCTCAAATTTAGTCATCCGTCATTTACAAATAACACACCCTCCCGCCTGGGTTTTTTCAACTAGAAATTGCTGGATTCCTAATCTATTTTGGTTTAGGATTCCTAATCTATTTTGGTAATAGGTTATTAGGATTCCTAATTAATCTATTTTGGTTTAGGATTCCTAATCTATTTTGGTAATAGGTTATTAGGATTCCTAATTTGATTTGGCTTTTGGTTTAGAATTCCTAGTATGTTTATGATTTTAGGATTTCTATATATATGGAACAATTGAAGGAGAGAAGAGGAGAGAAATAGCATTGTTTTGAGCACTTTGAGAGGGAGATATTGTGAGGGAGTTGAGAGCTTTGGTTAGGGTTATATTTGAGTGATTTTGTGAGTTGTAACCCGTTGTATTTCTCCTCCATATAGTAAAATCTCCCCATCCTCTCCCCATGGACGTAAGCAATTGCCGAACCACGTAAATTCCTGTGTTTGTGTGTGATTTTGGTCGTTATTTTGTGAATTACACTCGTGTTTGGTTTTGATTTTCTTCTCTCATCGCTCACCGACTCGTTTGGTTGTCGAGCACGCTTCCGCACGGCGCGCTTGGTTTGATTTGTCGTAATTGGCTTGGTTTGTGCAAGTGTGTGGCTTTCTTCTTCCGTGATCTCAAGTTCGTTGTGTGTGCGTGCAACGCTTCCGCATAGGCGCGCGACAAGTGGTATCATCCAATGCACCCGGGATCACTCAAATCTAAGTTCGGACGACAAATCAACCGCGAGTCAACGACGGGACAACGGCACGGCCCCGGGCTGAACCGGGGACACCCGAACAGGTCTCGGCCAATAGCTGAGACACCCCCTAAGGAGTGTCTCGGCCACAACCGAGACACCCCAAGGGGGGTGTCTCGGCCATTGGCCGAGACACCCCATGGGGGTGTCTCGGGTTTGGAGCCGAGACACCCCCCTTGGGGTGTCCTCAACCAGCCCCCTAACGACGAAAGTCAACACGTGACGACAAAAGCCAACCTACGCGGTTCAAAACCCTAAGGTGGACGCCGGTCAACGCGTAACCTTAGGTCAACGCCGGACAGCGCGTTGCGACAAAAGTCAACACGTGACGACGAAAGTCAACACGTGACGACAAAAGCCAACCTACGCGGTTCAAAACCCTAAGGTGGACGCCGGTCAACGCGTAACCTTAGGTCAACGCCGGACAGCGCGTTGCGACAAAAGTCAACACGTGACGACGAAAGTCAACACGTGACGACAAAAGCCAACCTACGCGGTTCAAAACCCTAAGGTGGACGCCGGTCAACGCGTAACCTTAGGTCAACGCCGGACAGCGCGTTGCGACAAAAGTCAACACGTGACGACGAAAGTCAACACGTGACGACAAAAGCCAACCTACGCGGTTCAAAACCCTAAGGTGGACGCCGGTCAACGCGTAACCTTAGGTCAACGCCGGACAGCGCGTTGCGACAAAAGTCAACACGTGACGACGAAAGTCAACACGTGACGACAAAAGCCAACCTACGCGGTTCAAAACCCTAAGGTGGACGCCGGTCAACGCGTAACCTTAGGTCAACGCCGGACAGCGCGTTGCGACAAAAGTCAACACGTGACGACGAAAGTCAACACGTGACGACAAAAGCCAACCTACGCGGTTCAAAACCCTAAGGTGGACGCCGGTCAACGCGTAACCTTAGGTCAACGCCGGACAGCGCGTTGCGACAAAAGTCAACACGTGACGACGAAAGTCAACACGTGACGACAAAAGCCAACCTACGCGGTTCAAAACCCTAAGGTGGACGCCGGTCAACGCGTAACCTTAGGTCAACGCCGGACAGCGCGTTGCGACAAAAGTCAACACGTGACGACGAAAGTCAACACGTGACGACAAAAGCCAACCTACGCGGTTCAAAACCCTAAGGTGGACGCCGGTCAACGCGTAACCTTAGGTCAACGCCGGACAGCGCGTTGCGACAAAAGTCAACACGTGACGACGAAAGTCAACACGTGACGACAAAAGCCAACCTACGCGGTTCAAAACCCTAAGGTGGACGCCGGTCAACGCGTAACCTTAGGTCAACGCCGGACAGCGCGTTGCGACAAAAGTCAACACGTGACGACGAAAGTCAACACGTGACGACAAAAGCCAACCTACGCGGTTCAAAACCCTAAGGTGGACGCCGGTCAACGCGTAACCTTAGGTCAACGCCGGACAGCGCGTTGCGACAAAAGTCAACACGTGACGACGAAAGTCAACACGTGACGACAAAAGCCAACCTACGCGGTTCAAAACCCTAAGGTGGACGCCGGTCAACGCGTAACCTTAGGTCAACGCCGGACAGCGCGTTGCGACAAAAGTCAACACGTGACGACGAAAGTCAACACGTGACGACAAAAGCCAACCTACGCGGTTCAAAACCCTAAGGTGGACGCCGGTCAACGCGTAACCTTAGGTCAACGCCGGACAGCGCGTTGCGACAAAAGTCAACACGTGACGACGAAAGTCAACACGTGACGACAAAAGCCAACCTACGCGGTTCAAAACCCTAAGGTGGACGCCGGTCAACGCGTAACCTTAGGTCAACGCCGGACAGCGCGTTGCGACAAAAGTCAACACGTGACGACGAAAGTCAACACGTGACGACAAAAGCCAACCTACGCGGTTCAAAACCCTAAGGTGGACGCCGGTCAACGCGTAACCTTAGGTCAACGCCGGACAGCGCGTTGCGACAAAAGTCAACACGTGACGACGAAAGTCAACACGTGACGACAAAAGCCAACCTACGCGGTTCAAAACCCTAAGGTGGACGCCGGTCAACGCGTAACCTTAGGTCAACGCCGGACAGCGCGTTGCGACAAAAGTCAACACGTGACGACGAAAGTCAACACGTGACGACAAAAGCCAACCTACGCGGTTCAAAACCCTAAGGTGGACGCCGGTCAACGCGTAACCTTAGGTCAACGCCGGACAGCGCGTTGCGACAAAAGTCAACACGTGACGACGAAAGTCAACACGTGACGACAAAAGCCAACCTACGCGGTTCAAAACCCTAAGGTGGACGCCGGTCAACGCGTAACCTTAGGTCAACGCCGGACAGCGCGTTGCGACAAAAGTCAACACGTGACGACGAAAGTCAACACGTGACGACAAAAGCCAACCTACGCGGTTCAAAACCCTAAGGTGGACGCCGGTCAACGCGTAACCTTAGGTCAACGCCGGACAGCGCGTTGCGACAAAAGTCAACACGTGACGACGAAAGTCAACACGTGACGACAAAAGCCAACCTACGCGGTTCAAAACCCTAAGGTGGACGCCGGTCAACGCGTAACCTTAGGTCAACGCCGGACAGCGCGTTGCGACAAAAGTCAACACGTGACGACGAAAGTCAACACGTGACGACAAAAGCCAACCTACGCGGTTCAAAACCCTAAGGTGGACGCCGGTCAACGCGTAACCTTAGGTCAACGCCGGACAGCGCGTTGCGACAAAAGTCAACACGTGACGACGAAAGTCAACACGTGACGACAAAAGCCAACCTACGCGGTTCAAAACCCTAAGGTGGACGCCGGTCAACGCGTAACCTTAGGTCAACGCCGGACAGCGCGTTGCGACAAAAGTCAACACGTGACGACGAAAGTCAACACGTGACGACAAAAGCCAACCTACGCGGTTCAAAACCCTAAGGTGGACGCCGGTCAACGCGTAACCTTAGGTCAACGCCGGACAGCGCGTTGCGACAAAAGTCAACACGTGACGACGAAAGTCAACACGTGACGACAAAAGCCAACCTACGCGGTTCAAAACCCTAAGGTGGACGCCGGTCAACGCGTAACCTTAGGTCAACGCCGGACAGCGCGTTGCGACAAAAGTCAACACGTGACGACGAAAGTCAACACGTGACGACAAAAGCCAACCTACGCGGTTCAAAACCCTAAGGTGGACGCCGGTCAACGCGTAACCTTAGGTCAACGCCGGACAGCGCGTTGCGACAAAAGTCAACACGTGACGACGAAAGTCAACACGTGACGACAAAAGCCAACCTACGCGGTTCAAAACCCTAAGGTGGACGCCGGTCAACGCGTAACCTTAGGTCAACGCCGGACAGCGCGTTGCGACAAAAGTCAACACGTGACGACGAAAGTCAACACGTGACGACAAAAGCCAACCTACGCGGTTCAAAACCCTAAGGTGGACGCCGGTCAACGCGTAA